AAAATAATTCGAAATAGCACTAAGGTCACAAAAAGTGAGACGTGTCACCTTTTGACGAGACCTGACTTTACATGACCTGAACAGCTATGTGTGAAGTCATTCGCACTAGAAAACGAATATAACAATTTATACATAAAAATTCTTGTAGTTGATATTCATATAAAAAACACGAATAAACAAGACACACTCTGTATAATTGTATATACGAAAAGAAAACAATATATAATGTTCGAAGCTTAACTTCACGATAATATCGGATAATAAACCTAGGAATCAAAAGACAGAAAGGTCACTAAAACAGGTCACTCACGGTCAAAATATGGTCATTAAGACAAGGGTAGGTCAGTTGAAAATCATGTTGAATGCATTCTTAAACATTTTGTTTAAAGTATCACGACATGATATATTTTAACATTAGTGGCCTGAACAGAAATATTGAAAATAGGCAGAGAGGGGGGGGGGGAGACAACGATGGGGTTAGGAGGAAGGGAGGGGGCTAGGATGATGGGGATGGGGTAGGGGAAGGGTGGGGGAAGTGTTTGTTTGTGCATAATTCAACTAAATTATTTAAATATTCAAAAATATCCCACAAATGCATTGGTAAACCGAGCCGAAATAAACGCACTTAATAATAATAGGAGAATTGAACGTCGATATGGCGTTGGTTAACGCAGTGAGAGATAATGAGAATATGAAAAAATGTCAAGAATATGGCAATACTTATAATTCTAGCCACATGGCCTAGAATGTCCGAAGAAACAGATAATAATTTAGAGAAAATGCACGATATATTTCACCCACATATTAAGATATCAAGAGGGATAGACAACGAATCTATGCATTAATTCTAGCATGATCGAGTTAGATAAAATAAAAAAATAAAAACACGCCAAAGAAACAAATAACTCTACCATGACGAGAGAAAAACAAAACAAAACATAGTAGATAACAGAAAGAAGGAAAGAAAATGCACTTTGCACGGACACTTGTTCAGATATTTGAAAGAAAATCACTGCACTTGTAAAAAAAAATAATTGCACGGCATGCACACACGTAGAAGAAAGGCGAAAGAAAGAAATGATTGCCAATGGTGTACTTACAGATTTTCGGAGGCTTCTTCGTGTCATTCCGCCGTCTGCCACCAGTTGTCAGGGTTTGTGTTTGCCCTGATTTGGTGTGTGTATGGAGACACAATTCTGGTTCGGCTGTTTATTGATAGCGGTCGTAAGGTAGCGTGGCGTGGGCTGTCTTGTGCATGCAGTTGTGGTCAAAGGGAAGCAAAAGCGCGCCCCCAAGAGGAGGTCTGGTCAGGGCCGTGAACCCTGGTCAAGTGTGCTGCCCTCGGTCAACTGTCGAAGCATTCAAGAACAGGGTCGGTCCTATCGCTGGAGGACGTGGCTAGGTACTCCTCATCTCTCTCTGTCTCTCTTCTCTCTCTCTCTCTCTCTCTCTGTCTCTCTCTCTCTCTCTCTCTCTCTCTCTCTCTCTCTCTCTCTCTCTCTCTCTCTCTCTCTCTCTCTCTCTCTCTCTCTCTCTCTCTCTCTCTCTCTCTCTCTCTCTCTCTCTCTCCTCTCTCTCTTCTTTGCTCCTTCTTCTCCCTCCCTCTGCCTCCTAGTCTCCCTGTTTATGCCTTTCTTCCTCTCCCTCATTCTTGTCTTCTCCTCTCTCTCCCTCCTATCTCATTTTCCTTTTCCCTCTCTCTGCCTTCTCCGTCTCCCTTTCTTTGCCTCTTTCTCCTCCTCCCTCTCACTGTCCCTTTATTTATCCCTCACTTTACTCTGTATTTGTTTTTATATCCATATGATTAATGTCGTTGTTTTGCATTTTTTAATTTATTTTACGCACATGTTTACTCGGAATGGACTGGACATTATTAATACAAGGTGGTTTATCCTAGCGTAGGAAAGGAATTTTCGCTTGTGGCACCCCTGCTCCCGGCCAGAACCAAAATGGCGGACTGCCCTCCCCCTTACACCAAGGCAAGACGCACTGTAGTGGACTTGCTCAGGGCCTGTGTAGTTCCACGCGGTTGTCTGAGTTATGGGATATGTGTTAAAAGTTATTGTAAAGTTTCAGACAAAATGGTTAACGTGAAACAGTTTTCCTTGTGTTCGAATATTATTTTGCTGATCTTGTGTGACTTGCTTCATAGAAATTTTGCCCGCCTCTCGCAGCTGATTGACGAGACCTCCGAAGAAGACATGTCGACCACCCCTGAAAAAAGTGACGGAGTGGGCCAGGCAGCGCCCCCGCCTTACCCCCCCATGGACTACGGCTTGAACCCCGCGGGCCTTCAGCACAACCCCCATGTCCCTCAGCCGGCCTACTCACCCATGATGATGGCTCCTCCTCCTCCAGCGGCTCCTCAGCAGACGGTGGTGATGGTGGGCTCGAACGCTCTCCCGCCCGGCGTCTGCACCGTCTGCAGGGTGAGTTGTGATGCGAAGAGTTCCTCGAGCGCCATTTTGATTTAGAATTGTTGTCCCCAGAAACAAAATAC